ATATGAGCTTTTCGTCGGGGAAAACGAAACTGTCCGTAATATCGGGGTGTCCGTATTAAGCGGGTGTCCGTAGAGCGGAGTTCCACTGTATTATATTTTATCTCGGTTACAGTAGGGAGTGGGATGTGATAAACTTTACTAAATTGTTTCGATCTTTGTACGCAGGTGGCTACCCTTGCACGTGAAGTGAGAACAGAGCTGGACCGATTACTTGAAAGGAAGATAGAAAATACCAGCTTTGACCTTGCGAGCTGTGCGCAAGGAAGCAGGATTATTGATGCTATTGTGCAGCTGATATCCACTCGGTAACAATATGAGCCACGGATTTGATTATCAACATGTCAATCAAAATATCACCCATTCAAAGCTGGGCTTGGGTTTCTAATGAACGTCTTTATGCTATAGAATAAAGAATCCATAGCACAGCTGGAGACTGGGGATTGATTATGATGAAGTTAGTGTAGTAGAAACTATAATAATAATAATAATAAAAAGTAAACTTGACTGCTTAATTTATGAGGTGCACTTCAACAAAGACACGTTCAGCTGATCTACTCAAGAGAATGTCGCTAAAAGTAATTTACAGTATAGTTTGCTTTTTAAACGTACCTCTCTAGAAGTTCTGTTGAACATTAGAGCTGTTCTAACCTGCGATCAGGGTTTTCTTTTTTTGTGGGGGGGAAGGGGGGCGGCAGAAGGGGAAAGAAAAAGAGAATGCTTGATCGCAGGTTAGAGAAGGCCATGCTGATATTATTTAGGAGCACGGTATTGTTTTCTCTTAATTTATCTTTTGAGTTGTGAACCAGAAATGTGCGCCGCTCAAAACGTTGGTGAGCGAGCGAGTACAGACTTATTTTAGAAGAAGTTCTTTGTGTTTCTGGCTGAAAGTCTCCTGTCGGCGCAGTATCTCTCAGGCCAGTACTCAGTCGATTGGTTCATTCATGCCCGTCTATTTCGAAGTGCTTCTTTCGAAGGCCTGCACTGCCAACTTGGCAGCGGTAGCTTTGGCGATTCTATAGTTGGTGCCTTTACCAACAAACTCTCCCCAGCGCACCTTCAGAGTACATCCGATTTTTCCGTTGGATAATGGTATTGCTTTGCTGAGATAACGAAAGAAAACAAATCCAGATTAGCATAACAACAACTGTTTGGTGTCATTTAAAGAGAGAATATCACGCTCATGTGCATGCCCGCCGCTACGGTGTCTAGAAGAAATCCTTTGGGTCAAAACTAAATTCGCTTGGACATCAAAAGAATCACAACTTTATTTAACGTGGTCGATACTCTTAGCTACAAGCTAGTTTTCAGGTATGCCATTATTTATTTGCTAAAAAAAAATACTAAAAAAAAACCAAAAAACAAATACATAACTTTGTATAAAAACCTTAAAACTAATTAGTTTTAAGGATAAGATAATTAATGTATGGTGCAAATAGATGTAATTATATGTTTTATTCAATTGGATTCTTTAGATTCTTATAAGAATCTTAAGAATCCAATTGAATAAAACATATAATTACATCTATTTGCACCATACATTAATTATCAAAGTCTAACTTCTTGATTTCCTTGACAAATAATTTGTATTCCTTAAGGCGGGGGTCTACCCGAATTTAAGTGAAATTTTAGAAGTTTAAAGAGGGATTAAAAGGAAAAAAAGTTTTGGAACACCACCAGACAGTTGAACGCCCCTGAAAGGGCACCCCAGGTTGGTGGACAACTGTTTGGTGTACGTCTACCAATTTTTAACTTCAAATTCTAAGTTTAAAACAACATCAAATCTTCAAAATTTCCTATTTCCATCAATTTAACTATTCTTTTGAGAAAAACTATTTATCCCCAAATATACCCAAACATCGACGAAAAATTTGCAAAACAGTCCAAAACGTAGATATGTGGGATGAGCAGAGAGACTTGTGACCGCTTGAAACGTGAACGAGATATTTGCGTTAAGTCCATAATACCCAGTCAAAATACGGCCCTCATGTTAACCCTCGCCTTGAGTAATCTTGTTTCGTAAGAAAGGTTATTCCATAATTTTGCGGCAGTGTATCTCCATGATCTTAAACAATGCCTAGTTAAATTAACTTTAGGCAATTGAACAGTATTATCAACTCGAAGGTTGTACGTAGATGATCTTTTCTTAACCAGCTGACTAATAGTTGTTGGAACATTGCTAGTATTTAATACCTTATATACAGTTGTGCAAATCTTAGCATTTATTTGATTTTCTTAAGTGGCTAATCTTAATCTCTGTAGTAGTGTAGCGTAAAGTAAGTAATATATAATCAGAAAAAAACGCATCGCAATGCTCTTTCATTAACTGAACTTTTTCTAATTTGGCCCCGCATCTCTTACTGCAATGATTCCACACTTCTAAACAATAATTTAAATTTGACAATATGAACGAAAAGTAGATATCTTTCTTGGTTTCGAGTGACACTTTCCTACATATGCCACGAGTAGGATTTTCAAATTTCAACTTATTATCAACTGTTACTCATAATAATCCTATTTGACTACGTAATGGTAAGGTGGTATTGTCACATGTAAAGTTCACTTCATCAGCCGTTGCTTTTCACATACCAATTCAACGGTCTATACTCATGAGATCAGAATTTATTGCCTCTTCAACCAATTAATAATCGCTGTCAATCTGTTGAATTTTATTCCTTGTATTTGGTAATCTGTCGGTCTGATCGCACTTTTTGTGACTTAAGATCGCTGTGTTATCTGTTGGAAGTTTTTTACTTAAGCGAAAAAAGTGGTTAACTTACTAAAAAAATTCGTTTTCTCTATGAAGTCTGGAAAGCGACGTTGTGGAAGACCGGCGACTGGGCGCTCTCTCAAGTCGTTTGAAGCAAATAAACTCAGCAGATCAGTATGATGTGGATCTAGAAGTTGTGTGTGGCTCTCGAAAATAATTCATCAGACGTGGAAATTCTTAAATTAAAAAGAACACAGACTCCGAAGAGAAGCAGTCGATTCCAGCAGCTGATCTACGCTCTTAAATTTATATCTTGTTTCAGTTCGCTCGTGAAATTATAATTTTCAACGCGCACTGTTAAAATTCTCAATTTTCACGTGTATATTCCCGACGGGAGTTACGTCGCTTCCGATTGGTTTATAAATGATAGACTTGAATTGACGTTAGTTAGGGCGTGCACATGCGCGATACCGTGATACCTTCCCTTAAAAGAAATGTGGCTGATTAGTGACGTTTATCGAAATTATCAATGACACTCACCTGAAGTTCCGTTCATTGTCTTCTTAATAGACGCGTCTTACCGGATTGATTGGTATATGCACTGAATAGTGATCTGAAACAAAAGCAACACCCTTAGTTACGTTCAAATGTACCAGCACTCGAGCACAAGGATTTGAAACTCGTCTCAGTTGGAATCGTCGGAAATCTCTGGTTTCCTTTGTATGACCTTTAAGCTGTCTGCAACAGATGGTTGGAAATTCTCTGGAATACGTAGACTGCTTACAATCCCCTTGTGGGTAGTCACCAATTCGGTGATACTGGAGCGAGGAGGATGAACGGGAGGATTTTGTACGAAGAGCCTTTCTTTTCTCCGGCCTCTTCCCATGTCCCCCTCGGCTCGTTCGCTTAACGTTTCGGATTGCTAGTGGTCTACTGAAATACTTGTTTCTGATCAGATTGTTATGACCAGGACTTTTCAAAGGCTGCTACGAACAGTGGTCTGATGCTGAGTGCTATGGATTTATTTCGGAAACTTTCAGTACGCTAGGATTTAACTTACCGATGTAAGGTCTCATCATACAGTAATATACGTCCCAGATCTTCGTGAAATCCATACCGCTGTCCAAAAATACTGCGCCAGCCACAGACTCGAAGATATCACCCAGGACCTTGGGAGCGTCGTATCCTTCCTCGTCTTGTTCAGACACAATAATAAACGGATCTGCAGTGACCTGAAAGGCAAAAGCAAGTCACGTCGGCGTTCAGTAGTCCCACTGCATGCGACATTAAAGCACAAGCTAGCTGAAATATGACAGCTGACCGGTTAGCTCAGTTCTTCGAGCACCCGACTACCGTGCGGGAGGTCGCGGTTTCAAGCCCCGACCGGACCAACACTCATATGTAAATAATTGAGGTGAAAGTACTGCCTTTGTAATTACATCTGCAAACGATTTGACTTTGTAGTTTTCTCGGATAAGGACGGTGAACGCAGGTCTCGTCTCACAACACTTATTCCTTATAATCTGTAGAACGTTTAAGAGCCCACACACTGTTCACAAAAAGAGTAGGTGACGTAGTTCCCGGTGTGGTGGTCTACCTCTGGGCGCTTTCTATTCAAACAAAAATTTCGAGATTTCCGGTTCAAAATTGAATGGAACGGGTAAAGTTCTGGGGAAAGTTTCGAAATTTAGGAATACGTTTTACGTGCACCCTTTGATCGCATTTCCAGAATTATCGAAACATTCGCGAAAGATGTCGGTTTTAGTCTCCCTACCGAGCGTGAGGTCACGTGGACAAGCGAAAAAAACAATAACGGGGGAAGAAGCATCTCCAGCAGATCAGTGCACGTGACCTCGAATTCTGTGAGGTGGTCGGACGCGTTCTGTTCCACCAGCGAAAATTTCGAAAATTTGTAACGGTGATTTTTGTTGAATGGAAAGCGCCCTCTATCTCTCATTGATGGTATGGTTAGTAAATGCTCGGAGATATTAGCTGCATAAGCCCCTCTAAAATCCGAGGGTAAATAAAGTTGAGGTATTTATGCATGATGCATGAGCGGGTGTCTAAATGCTGAGACCACAGTTGCACCCTGAAGACACACAAAGAATGCGGTACTTTTCACAAAAGTATAAAGCACATTAAAGATAATTCACATATCGGCGTCACAGACGGTGCACACGGCCTGTATATCTAGGTTTTCACCTAGATTCCAAGTGACAAGTCCGGCTGCACCGCAGGCTAACATACCTTGACTCATGTGAAGTATATATGAAATAATTCATATTTGAACTGCGGTTGTAGATGAAAGTGAAGAATGATCATCGCAGTAAATTTTCTCCAATTTAAGCAACTGGAAAGAAGAAGCCTGAAAAAGAAAATCAGGGCTTCAAATTTGGAGAAAATTTACTGCGATGATCATTCTTCACTTTCATCTATAACCGCAGTTCAAATATGAATTATTTCATATATACTTCACATCAATTCACTACTCACGGGAAGATATGAACTCAATTAATTGACCTCGCTCCCAATGTGTGGCTTCATAGCTCAGTTGGTAGAGCATCGCACCAGTATCGCGGAGGACACGGGTTCGAATCCCGTCGAAGCCCTGATTTTTTTCAGGCTTCTTCTTTCCAATTGCTTAAATTGGAGAAAATTTACTGCGATGATCATTCTTCACTTTCATAGCTTGACTCAAGTAAACCTGTCACCAGGTAAAGGAAGAGCACAAAAGTTCTACCTCATGATCATGTCTCCTCTCTTCAGTCTCATCTTCCACTTTGGTGATAAAATTTTCGATGGTTTTGAACCACATCGGTGACATCTGCTTCAGATACTTGTTATATTTGTATTTCACGGCAATGGCTGCAAAGATGTTGTTATTAACCAAGGCCTGGCGGATGTCCGTCAACTCACCGGGGGACAATTTGGCCTGACGGAAGTACAAGTGCTGCGTGACGAGGAAGTCTAATATAGCGTCTCCAAGGAACTCTAGTCTCTGATAACATGGCGTGAAGCGATTAGCATGGTACGAGGAGTGTGTTAGAGCCTCTAGAAGATACAGCTTTGAACTGAAAGTATAACGAAGGGAGTCTCTTTCAAAGTTCTCCAACCCAGAAACCATGCGTGAAACCATATCTTCAGTGTCTCGAGCTACAGTTTCATCTGATCCACAGGACCAAAATCTCGCGTAACAACCCGCCTTGCAATTCTCCGCATACCTGAAAAGGTTGTCGTCATCGAAATTTTCGGGAAGAACCTTAAGACCAAGGAACTTCATGAAGCGCAGCGCCCCAAGATACCCACATGAGATCAGATAAGCTCCAATGAGGGCCTCAATGCTGTCAGCAACTGACTTGTCTGCTATCACCTGAGTGTTGTACTCGACTGCTTTCATATCAGCTCCATCAGATCCACCTCCACTAGCAACATCGACTTCCATTTCCTCATCTGCAGCACCGGAAGTATCGTTGTCGCTTTCCATGGGTTTGTCACGTGAGCCAGTGATGGCTTCGGGTGGAATTTCATTGATCTGCCAGCCCGTGGGGCACCAGTTGTCATGAGCGAGCTGGACGCACTGTTGATATCCCGCTAATGATTTCTTGAGCGCCGCGCGGAACAGCGCCAGATTGCTGATCTGGTTTTTCTTCCGCCGGGTCAATTTCCCCTCGTCTTTGTCTTGGTAGGTCCAGAAAAGGTGAAGCGACACCGCTAGCTTCAAGAACGCGTCTCCGAGCATCTCGAGCCTCTCCAAATCAAATGCGTCTCCACTGTGGGTGGTGGTCAGTGCTTTAAGTACCAGGGCCGAGTCGGGATTATCAGGCTCACGACTACAACGAAACAAATACTTCAGATCTGAAATCAGCTCTGGAGACTCCTCCAAATCATTATCGTCGTCATTGTCATCGTCATTGTCATCGTCAAAATCATCATTATCGTCATCGTATTCATCATCATCTATGGACATCTCCGCGGTAGCACTGTTTTTATGAAGGCGGAGTAAACTCTTCTCATCATTACCACCCTCAGCACCAATGGGAGGCAGTTTGGATTCGTCTGTGTTGTCACTCACTCCTGCGATCATGCACTTAACGTCACTGACAAGCAAAAAAGCGTTCACACGGTGAAGAATAGATGGCAGCATCAAGGCCACACTGAGAATGGACGCACGCATAGGCACCGCTTCACACAACTCTGGAACAAGGCAAATAACAGGATGCTTCATCTTGGACGTTGGTTTTCTGTCCGATAAAAAATTCACTCTGCCGGAAATGTCCCTCACTTCAATGAGAGGCTGATCCTGGATTTTAATGCTTTTGCCATAGCGCTGCCGGAAGTACCTTTCGTAAGATTTTGCTTTGGATTGATCTGGGAAGGGAGACAATGGAGAGAGATCACGACGCACGTTCAGAACAGCAAACCTCTGCAGCCTCTGCTGCGGATCCACGTAATTCTTTGTGACCACACTGTCCTCGCCAATAGCATGATTAACGCATCTTTCATACGCATCTTTCATACCTTGATAGTCCAACTCACGCCCAGTATTCTTCACCAGAACAATGAAGTAACCGTCTCCCTTACCACCTTCATGTTTGGCTTTTAATTCCACTGGTTTACGGAGAATGTGGCTGAACAAGAAGCAATGGAATTTCTTAACAGTTTCCAGGTGTTTTTCGGTGAGCTTTGCTGGTAACGGTGACTTGTGATTACTCAGAGAAACTGTTAATTCTCCATAATCCGGGTACAGTTTAAATGGTCGTACCTGTAGATTGAAAGAAAGTCAGCAATTAAGCGTCATGAGAGAGACTTCAAAGTTAGAAATGCGCAGCATAAAAACAGATCATTAGAGTAATGCTTAGCAGCTTTCATTGGAATAGTAACACTTCTGGACGTCAACCACGGACGGGAGAAGTTCGCATCAGCAGACTTAAATACACAGCGCAACGTTCTTAACCTCTGATCAGAATCTCATCCGGGAAAAGAGGGCCATTTTTGTACCCCTCCTCCTTCGCCGTCTTTCTTCTTCATTTTCCCTCTTATAACGCCTGAGCGCTGACTACAAAGCACTGCTTCCTGTTTTTGATTTCGTCCGATTTTGTCAGATTCCCAAAACGGTAGGCTGATATCATACTAACCGCTGGAAGTGGAGAATTTGTTAACAAGCCAAACATGTTGCAGCAGTCGTCTGTGAAGCATCGTTTGCTCACATCAAGATCTTTCTGGTTAGTTAGTTTAACGATACGTATCCTGATGACCGTGAGGTACTGGGGCTGTTTGCAATGAGCCAAGCTGTCAATGAATGCCTCAGGGACCTGGGTCAATGGAAAAACAATACCTTTCAGGAACTCCTCACATCATACTCTTATACCAGATCAGAGTGGATTTCTAATAAACTGTAAACACCAAGACCACAAAATTACATCTGGCACAGCACACCAATGACGTTTATACGAATCCATGCAATCGGTGTTAAGCGGAAAAGCGTACCACTGGGGATTAGCGCGGGAAACACGAAACAGCTACAAGGTGCGGGAAAGCGATTCTGGTATTTTATTGTGACTGGGTTTCGAGCTCAATATAGGAAGTGTTTGGAGCTCTTAGGAAACGAGAAACAAACAACAACAACAAAAAGGTTCCATGCTTATTTCATTTAGCCACACACAAAACAGTCATTTTATAATTAAGTGTTTGCTACCCAATCACTAATTTGGCTTCAATTTTTTTTACCTTTCGTGTGAGGCATTTGACTTCTTCGAAACTAGTTTTAAAGTAGTTCATTTCCGGTACCTTTGTTTGCCTATAAGAATCATCTCACATTATGCTCTAGTATGGCGACTTATCAATTCACTTTTTAATTCGAACCGAGTCATCTAAGTTAAGAGACTAAAATGCGCGCTTTTAACTAGTAATTCACTACTGCCGGTAGTCTCCCTCGCAGCCGTTTCTTGTCTCGTAACGCAACGCTCCTCCACACAAACGACCGTTTTTTGGGGAAGAGCGTTGCGTGACGAGACTAAAAACGGCTGCGAGGGAGACTATATTGCCGGTGGTGGAGAAGAAAACTAGTTTTTCAATTTGTCATTGCCCAAAGCACCTGGGGGACAATTATTAAACTGGACTTAATCTGATTGATATGGAAGTTCTGATCCCTTAAAAAAAAAACAAAAAAAAAACAAAAATCAAACAGTATCCAAAGTGGACGAGAGCTCACCTTCCTCTCATAGATTCTCTTTCGTTTCTTTGTTCCTGCTTTGGTCTTTTTTCCTACACCGGATGCAGCGTTTTCTTCCTCTGACTCGCTTTCCTCGTCTGATAAGCTGCGGACTGGTAACAAGTCGTCATTAAGCTCTCCTATGCTGTGGAGCTCTTTGCATGCCTCGTAGGCTGCAGCCATCTTAGCAAGGTCCTTACGCGGCATTGGAAGACCCTGTTGAATGCCAAGACAGGATAATTAAGCTTTCAACTCAAAACGAAGGTAACGTTCCCATATCCGAAGTTTTTATGACATGAAAAGAACACCTTAGTAATGCCAAAGGAAAATTTGAAATTCTGAAATTCTGAATAAAGTTTATGCATGAAAGCTGGGGTACAAACGATGGCGTGAGCTTGAGCTCACCTTGAAAGGTATTTATTTATTTATGTATTTCACAAATTATTTCACAAATTATTCTCCCTAAACTGAAGGATGATACAATATTTTCAATACCTCACAATGCCAATACTAAGTGTACACCATGAATGTCAGCTTTCAAGCCAAAGTATTTGTTGTCGATCAGTGAGACGTAAAAAGTTATGCCTCAAGTATGCTCATGAAACTAAGGATATTCCCCGTGTTACATAGCCCTGTCAGAAGATAGCATTGGTAGTTTGATTAAGTCATAGTTAGTAGAGGAGTAGTAGTAGAGGTCTCCTCTACTTACTATGACTGAGTCAAGCAAAAGACTTTGTACTCACAATTATAGCTCTACGCAATTGGCAGTTTGTGGGCATTTCTAATTTACACCTGTAAACATTTTTTCCAATTTCCTCGACCTTAAACACCGGCGTTGGATGAGTGAACCTGTCACCTGGTAGCTTGGCACAGTACCTAGCAAAAAGCCACAGAAGCAAAGACATTAGTGACAAATTTCGTTTCAAACATTAAGCAAATATGTAGAGAATTTAACCTTGGAAATTTGGGTTGTGCCTGGTGGTGAAAATGGAAGTTGATTACAGTAGAAGGTTTGGCTAACTTGGTTAATTTTACTTTGATAGGAAATGCAGGTACGGAGATGCAACTAAACAACCTTGAAAGTGAAAGTCAAGAATGTGACTACATGGTGAAAGAATGTTGTGGCATTATCTGCTACAATATGTAAAGAGCATCTTCTGTATAACTACTTGTTCTTTTCCCAGAGGTCAAAAGCACCACGCCTGCTTTCCAAATACTGGATATAGAGGCACTCATAATTAAGTAAAATGGGAGCTAAGAGATTCTCTCTTTCACTTAGGTTCTGGTTACAAGAATTCGCTTGAATAAAACAAGGTTCTAGATCACGCAAGTTACAGCACTTCTAAATAATGAGGTAAGCATTCATTTAAATTAATCAAAAGATTTTCTTTCACTTAACTACCAAGTAAACATAAGAAGAATGTTATTGCTACCTGGATAACAGAGGAACGCTACTACTCATAGTAAGTCTTGCTCCTCGTCCATTCTCTGGTATGTATGGAGGTAAGAAATCTGTATCAACAGCCTCATCACACTCTTCTTCAGTAGGTTCAGTCCGATCATGGCACATCTTTGACAGGGAATCTTCAAAATCATGCATAATCTGAGGAAAAAATAGTTTCCTCTCATATTGAGTACCTGCTTTGTCCTCAAAATGGACAAAACTGTTAAAATACTTTATTCAAGACACCACACTTGTGTTCAATTATTTAAAGTCTGCGTTACTTTTGGCCTTATGTGCTAAGACTTGTGATAAAATTTTATTCATCATCTATTCCCTTCCCTTCCCTTCCCTTTCCTTCCCTTCCCGTTTCTTCCCTCTTTCCTTCCTTCCTTCCTTCCTTCCTCCCTCCCTCCCTTCTTCCCTGTTTCCCTCCCTCCCTTCTTGTTATTTTGATGTCTTAATAATTTGTTCTCAGCATTAACAATGTATTTCTTTACAAATTATTCTCTTTTGAAAATACATGTATATCAGGAAGATTACCGCCAGTTCAGATTTCTTTTCCACTTGCTCTTCTCTGTCTACAAGGATATAATAGCTGGAATCTTTGGCATGGGCTCTGCCCTTCGACTGCACATAGGAGCGGAAACTCTTTGGGAAATCAAAACGACAAACAACATTACATTTGGGAATATCCAATCCCTCCTCCACAACGCAAGTTGCAATCAACAGGTTGAATTTATGTCTTCTGAATTGGCGTAGGACTTCTTCTTGCGTCTTGAAGTCCATTTCTGCTTCATTGGAGTAATTAACCTTTCCGCCAGTGCCGTGACCAGTGACAAACTTGCTTTTGACAAAGGTAAGCTCAGGATCATGTTCAGCGAAAATGTTAATCTGCTCACTGAGGACCAAAGCTGTGTATCTTCTTTCCACAAATACAATGCCACAGAGCTTATGTGCTTGGTCAGTTTCTGTACGTCAATGATAAAATTACGATTGAAAAAGTGATATAGAGGATATGAACACTCAAATGTTAAAAAAACTTATCAAACAAATATAAATATCACTACTTAAAGGGCATATACCACATCTGGTCTCACTGGAAACCAATTAACAGCTTTAAATTTCATAACTAATTTTCTCTGCTTCCCGTATGATTTAGTTTAAATAGATAATGAAAACAGAATTAAATAAACACTTGAGTAAAGATAAACAGGCATATGTAAATAAATACTTAATTCATAAAAAAAATAAAATTGAAAAAAATACAAAATATTAATACTAAAGTGTAATTAAAAATTTAAATAAAAAAATTGCCAACTGGAGTTCATTCTCACCATATTTTGAATTCCTGTCTCCTTTTAAAACACTTAATAACTTTTGCAACTTGGGTGTGATGAAACACTGTCCATTGCTGTCAGGGTCAGTACTGTCGGTGCAGGGTGATGTAAAATTGTGATATACGCTTTGCAGCTCTCTCAGCTTAGTTGCACTAAACTCACAAAACAGCTGTCCCTTTTCGCTGACTTGAAACATACATTCCCTGTCTAAAACAAATAAACAAAAATAATCAGACTCTTTTTATGTACACACACAAGTGGTCACCTTTTGTACACGCAGTTCCCAGATTTATTTGTGGTTAAGGTGTAAGAGTTAACTAGAGTTTAACTAGCGTGAGACAAACGATAAGAGAAATTTTTTGATACTTTTATATAAATGTTTTCTTGTCCATTATACAATTTTACTTTATGCATTTGCTCATTTGTAGGATCAGTCAGAGAACAATAATTATCACTCACACAGAGTGCGAAACTCAAGGTGAACACTGTCACGTGAGCTTTAGCTTTTTGACACATCTTATGTTGCGCACAAGCAGGAGTTAAGTTTTGAAGGACCTCGTTGGTTAGACCAGAACTGAAGATGTACACAGGACTTACTGTTCAATTGAATACTAATGCCCTGTTGAACTGAACTTTCCTGTGTAATGTTGATGTGACAGACATGATCATAACCCTCTTTGGAATGCTCTGGACAACTGTGCAGGAGGTTGCGGGTTCAAACCCCAGCTAGACCAAAACTCAGTGTTTTTAAATAACTGAGGGGAAAGTGCTGCCTTTGTATTGAAATCTGCAAATGGCTAGACTTTCTAGTCTTCTCAGATAAGGAGGATAAAGCACAGTTATTTATTTGCCATCTTCATAATATAATTACAACATGTTTCACCAAAGTTAGTGGCAAGGAGACCTCAAGAAACCACTACATGTAGGCTTATTAGGAGTTCCCATCTCACAACACTTATTCCCAACAATCTGTGAGATGTTAAAGAATCCACACACTGTTGGAAAGAGGAGGGGAAATAATCCCCAGTTTGATAGTCTATCTCTGTCTCTGATTTTGTTTGTCTTTTGCATTTATGGGTGGGTTGGGTGGGTGGGTCACACAGAGATCAAATATGGACTGCTAGCTGTTGTCAGTGGCGCCTTCACACACTGAAGTCCGATCTTATCCCACATAAGAACTGTAACCAACCATGAGACTATATGTGATACGTATGGTATAGAAATACATAACCATTACTATTTGGTACTAAATATATTACAAAATTAAAAGTTTAAATGCTAGATTTCATACATGCATCATACCTAGATCCTTGATTAAGTATCCAGCTACTCTATTGCATGCCCAAGGACCAAGCTCTCCTAATGTCTCCTGGCATTCCCTCAGAGCAAACTTTGCATAGGAGAGTGCATTCCACAAAGGTCCTTCACGTGACACCCTGGAGTCCTGAAGGAAGTCCAGTCCTGGGGCTAAAACATCTTGAAGTTTTTGAATTAAGATGCGTGAATCATCCATCATGTCATCATTTGAATATGTCAAAACTTCTTCTCTTGGCTTGGCAGCAAACCTCTCAACCTCTTCATCTTGGCTGGTCTCACATGTTGACCTTAAGGTACATTCCAACTCTCGTATTTCAGATTCTAGTAAATTCCCCAAATCTTTTACTTTTTTGTTCACCACAGAAGCTGTTAACCCCATGATCTTGGGATGATCAGCTCTTTTGCCATCAAATACCTGCATTATCTGCCTATATGGATGCTTTTTTTTAGCATGGTGGCATTCATCAAAAATAAGCAGATTCACTTGTGAAAGTTGAATGTAACTATGATTCAGAAGATCAAGAAATATCTGTGCAGTCATGACCAAAACGTTGTTTTCATTGAACTCTTTTTCCCATTCACTTTCGTTCCAGAAGTCCACTCCCATCTCTCCAACATAATGCTTCACCTTCAAATCCGTGTGTTTGTCAATGACTTTGGCTTGTTGACTGGCTAAAGAGACTGTGAAGAAAACAATAACAGCTTATAAAACTCCTACCTCCAAAAATATTAAAAAGGACGTAGAGCAATCATTAATTATTGAAACATAGGAACTTATCCTTAGAACGGAGATGCATGGAACCGGTGTACGTGGCTACAAGCTCAGCATCGGATATGCCTGTAAACCCAAAATATGTTCATCTGCTGCCGCCGAGAACGCCTAACCCACATCCCTTACACGTACCCCTTCCCTGGCCGTATTACAGTGCTAATTGAGGACCCTTCTGTAACCCACTTTAAGTGACGTTGGCAAAATAAATCCTAATTTTCAAAAAAAAAAAAAAATACAGAAAGATTCTCAAACCTGTATTTACAAGAAAGAAGGTTCTTTTCCCGCCATTTTTGTACGTCGCTCTGACTTGGTGCGCCATTTCCTTTATCAGCATGACACTGATGAATGTCTTCCCAGTGCCTGTTCCCAGGCAAACAATTGTGTTTCTTTCCTTAGCTCGTTCTAGGAGTTCTACTTGATACGGGCGCGGGGCCATGCTCACTTGCGGTTCGACTTCTGCTTCGCTTTCGGAAGATTCTGAACTTTCTTCGGTTTCTCCCTCTTTCATGGTGGTTACTTGTTCTAATTTCTATGGAGGGATGGAGTAGGCTTTCGCGTTCCCAGCTCAAAGGTCGGGACGAAGTTCAGATCAACAAGGAAACCACGATAATCAGGCTTCGAGGTGTTTTTGCATATCGTGGACGCAAG